TGGTTTAAAGTATTGAAAATAATTAAGACTATTATTAATTATGCATATTTAGTCTAAAGAGAAAAAATTTTATTATCTTCTGGTTTTCAGGAAATGATAAAATATTTAAACTTTATATAAATACAAGGAATACAAAATTTTGAAAAAGAAGAAAAATATATTAATTATTAAGCTTATTTTTCTGCATAAATCAATATGTAACACAAGGACACTAATAACGGACATTTTCACAACTGTTGCAAAAAGGTGGAATTTTGGCGAACATTTAGGCGTCTTTAAGACGTCGTGAAACGATGCTTTCACATCAATCAAAATATCACCGACGAAAGACGCAATAATGACGTCTATGCGACAAAGACCTCATATGCAAAGACGTAGTAAAGACGTCTTTGCAACGGTTGCAAAACAGTGGATGTTCGCGGACATCTGGGGGTCTTAAAGACGACATATTGCAACGTTTTTGCAACGACATCCGAGACGAGTTTGCAACGTCGTTGCTGTACTACTTAGGATGTGCAGTCCAGGTAAGTCGATTATTGATAGTTATGCCAAGATATTTCGCTTTGTTGACAATTGGCACTGATTCGTTAAATAGTAACAGTTCCTTTTCAAGGGGGGCATTCTTCTTTCTTTTTCTGATAAGGAGGAGTTGCGATTTTTGTGCATTAATCCGGATTTTCCAGCGTTTGCACCAATTTTGAATGTAAGGGATGTTTTCTGGTAGTTTTTGATTGCATGATTAACATTCGCTGACTTCACTGCGACAGCAGTGTCGTCAACATAGCATGCAAGTATTGCATTATTATTGCAGTAGATTTTCGGGATATCTGCGACGTAGGATAAGTAACTCTACTTATCCTACGTCGCAGATCGAACGTAAACCCGATCCCTGAGGAATACCAATCAGCATGATTCTTTAAGTAGAAAGAGAGTTTCCAACGGAGACTTTAAAATTCCTATTTGATATGAAAGAAAGTATCACAAGAATGAGTTCTCTTTCAAAATCAAGATCGATCAATTTGCAGATTAGCCCCTCATGCCAAACGCGGTCGAAAGCTTTCGCCACGTCTAGCATGAAGACAGCTGTATTTAAATTGTTGTGAAGTGCTTGCCGCACAAAGTCAGTAATGCTTACTAATTCCTTGGTGGTCGATAGATGTTCACGGAATTCAAATTACTCCGCTGGTAGTTTTTGAAGCTACAATTTCATATGGGCATGCAGAATTCTTTCGTAAAGTTTAGATAGTCCAGGCAGGAGGCTGATAGGTCGGAAACCATCTGTTTGCATATGATTTTTTCCTGGTTTGGGGATCATAATAATTTTGGCTGTCTTCCATTGTTGTGGAAAGTAAGAGTGAGTCATGCAAGCGTTAAAGATAGAAGTAATCTTGCATATAACGTTGATAGGCAGGTTTTTCATGGCAGTGTTTGTGATGCCGTCAAGCCCCGGGGCTTTTTTGGTCTTCAATTTTTTTAATGAGGGACTGAACTTCGGATGGAGTTGCAAGCTTCATTAAATTATTAGCTGTATGTGAATTAAGCCAGTCCTTCACTTTGAAGAGCGTGTGCAGTTCAAAATCAGCATCGACGACGGGCCAGCAATTTGGCGAAAATTGATCTTCTAGGTGAGAAGGCAAACATGGCTGCCTTTTCTTGGTCTGAATTCGCAACCTATTATTGAAGTGCAGTGGTCGGTTACTGGTGTACGTAGTTTTTAAAATTTTTGATGAAATTCCAAAATGTACCATTTTTGGCATCTAAATTCAGCATTTTTTCTTGCCATAATTCCTCCTTATGCTTTTTTTTTTCTTGCCATAATTCTCCTCCTTATGTTGTTTAATAAGTTTCTGTATTTCTTTACTAATCTTATTAATTTCCCTCTTGATTGGTGGAAGACCAGGTCACGTGATAACGTTTTCTTAACCTATTTCGCGCTTTCGCTGCTGCATTAGCGAACGAATATTTGAGGGTAATTTATAAAGTTTTCTCTCTCTATCATTAATTATAATCACTTGCCTCTACAGTGGCGATTTTCAATTTTACTGGCTAATGAAGAGATTTCATTTTCAATATCAATAACAGTTCTTAGGCTTTTTTGAGGGAAAGTCCAGTCTTTCAACAAATTTTCAAAAAGCCTCCAGTCTGTGTAAGTTCTGGTCGTATTAGTGGAGGGTTTAGGAATTCCTAACGTAGCAATTACAGGTATATGGTCAGAGTCGAGTTCGTGAATTACATCTAATGCCATTGTAGTCGGAACCGTTGTAGTCGCAAGAACAATATCTAGAATGTCCAATTTTTCTAGCCGGTCTGGTCGATATGTATATTCACTTGGGGGGTGCAATACTGCGGCGCAAGTCGCTAACCGCACCGACGGTGCGAATAGCTAAGAAGCTATTCACACCCCCTACCTTCGCGCTTGCGCACAATCAGCCCAGGTACCAGCATTTTACGCCGATTTTTGTAAGGCAGGCGATAGCGAGAGTGAACATTGTTAACCCTAACTCAGCAATAGAAAGTGTTGTTAATATTTCACCAGCAAGAAAATAATTTGCAAGAAATAATTATCAATTACAAAGACGAGGTCAATCTATATACATGATAATGTTCAGGAAATTATTAGATAAAATAGGGATTTAATGATGGTTCTAATTGCAAGCGAGGACGTGTAATTAGTTAAAAAATCTTTAATGTATTGACAAAAAGGCTACAGAAATTACTTAAATTCTTTTATTTAACAAAGAAATTTTTATGCAAACTCAGACCCTAGTGTTATAACATAGGACTGTCAGAATTTATTATTCAATAAGAAAACTTAGTGAAAATTATAATATTCTTATGTATTCATAACTTTTTCAATATCCACTCATCTTTATAGGTTAAAATGCCATATTCAAAATCAAAGTTATTTATGAAATAAAACCTTATAAAATCTGATAAATCATTTGTGTGTGCAAATATTTAAATCTAAAACTCGTAAATTAAATTATTTCTATCTTTTAAATTACATCCCATTATTTATTTCAATTTAATTTATTACTGTGTTTGTACTAATATTTCGAAGTTCTTTTAAGTACTTTTTGTGTCCTGAAAATGCCAAGTAATTCCATAAAAAAATAAGTAGTTATACAGAATTTTTAATAACCAGTATTATATGATTAATTCTTCATTTAATACTTGATTTAATTGCTTTTAAGTCATTTCATGTCTAAATTTTCTACACAGAAATGCTTTGTCTAATTTTTATTATCTCATCTCGGACGAAAATTTTCAAAGAGGAATGAATTAAAGTCTTGATTGCGCAAAACACATCTTTGAAGCTAAATGTATTCTAAAAAGTGCAAAAAATGTAAACAAAAACCCCCGCCCCACTAATCAGTCATTTAAACTATTCCATCCCTGATGTAAAGGCAGATCAACTCTGGAACCACTATTTACAATGCCACATGGAAAAAAATAAATAAAAAAAATTCTTGGCTCATGCATTGTAAATTTTTCTTAGTGCTGGCGTTATTCAATAATAATTTAGTGCAGTACAAACGCAGTGAGGAAATTCTATTTCTTCAGGAATGAATATACCAGAGGTGTAAAAGTAGTATTAACACTCATTTTGGAATCCGAAAATGCTTCTTAAATGGTACTTGTAATAAATAAACTCTACTTAATTTGCTCTTCAACATCAGAATAATAATACTATTAAAAATGAAAATGCATATATTGTTTGAAGGAAATGTTTGAATATATTAAATCACTGTATTTTCGATACGATGACAAGTGATAATATATTTAACGCTGTTTACACTGATTACTTCGCTAGTTTTTCAGAACATAATATAGGTGCAAGTTTAAAAAACTATTTTAATCGTAAAGTGGAACACTTTTTAGAACAAAATTTCTAGTTATAGCATACATTTCATTTGAAGGTAAAATAATACTTTATTTTTTTTCTTGAGAAAACTGTATTCATCTACCTGCAGTGTGAAAGCGATTAGAGTATATCCCGCATTCTAACGCCTTGAGCGTTGGAACTAGATTGAAAGGAAATCCTGAGCGTTTGCCTGCCTGCCGACAAAAGAGCACTAATCACCCAGTCGTTAAGGGCTCGATTCGATAATTTTTCCCTCTTTCCATAACCGCTGAGCCAAGTGTGTGTGTGTGTGTGTGATAATGGCAAAGCCTCGAGGGCTATCTGCCTAAGGGGAGGGATGCCTTCGTGGATGACTTTCTAAGGGAAACTGACTCGTATACACGTTACACATGGGGAAAACCACGAAAACGCCCATCCAACCAGCCCGTTCGCGGGATTCGAACCTCGGACCGAACTACCAGTGTTCAGCGACTTTACCGCTCGGCCGCTGGTGGGCCCGCTGAGCCAAGAGCCCCCAGTGAAGGTACACAACTGTTTTTCGAGCCTACGGGAAAAGGTTAAGTAGGAAATCTTTTTGTCGATCCATCAGAAACTGGTACGTCGGTCAATCCATTAGCTTTGCAGTTTGGATGATTTGTCTTAACTCATCCAATTTGCAGTTAAGAGTATCAAAAAACGTTTTAAGGTAGATAATCTCACTCGCTTTAACATGAGCGTAGCGCGTCCAAAATTCATTTTCTTCGGACATTTTGCAGAGAAATGATACTTTGATACGAACAAGCGGCATAGACATTTTTTAGGTAAAACTATCAAAACTAGTGCTGTGAAAATTTGAAAATATAATGCTGAATTTGTTGTTTGACATCGCATATTAGGAATTCCTTCAATTTTTGACGTGCTTTTCATTGCACATGGTTAGGTTAGTTCTCGCTTCTTCTTAATATTCTTTTTCTTAATTGGCCATAATATTCTTTCATATAGTTCGGTTTTTGTTCTTATTTCTCTTTTTAAACCCACTTTTTTAAATCTAACCTTTAGAAATATTTCATCTTTCATATTCTTTTTCTATTTGTCTTTCATTCACACTCAAACTTAATTTTTCTCTGTATGGGAGAAAGACGTAGGGACTGCAAAACGAGATGTGTTTACTTGCAATTTTAATTTAGCGAAAATTTTATTGTGTGTTGCAAAAATTTGCAGTTTATTTTTCGCTAAGGTCAAGTATGCGTTTATTTACAACGAAAATGTTCTCGTTACAGAGTAGGATTACTATACCTAAATTCAGATTTTTTTCAGTAAATCGTAGTCTAATCTTCAAAAGTAGAAATCAGACTTGTTCAATCCTAACTTCTTCCCATGCTAAATATCTTCGTGAATTATTGTGTTCTGTGAAATTTATGAATTTAAAAGTACATGCGTTTAATTTTCATTCGTGTTCCAATGAAGGTAAATATTAATTATAAAAGATATTTAAGAATTATTCCGTAATATTTACTATACATTGGTTCTCGGTGTAATTCGTGGTTGAAAATTAACGGAAATCAGTTATTATAAAAACTGCCCGCAAGGCTCCCAATTTTGGCACGGAATAAACACTTTTAGATCTTTGTATAATATTTCCCACTACTGAATATTTATATTTTCCACTTAGTTCAGCATAGACTGACAGAAGTTTCGGGGAAAGTGCAGAATCGGCCACTGCTTGGCGCGTTTTTAAGAATTGCACATACTCGGTATCCATGTACACATCGGCATATTTTCACTTAAAAAAAATCCCAGAATTGCACAAAAATGGCATTTTGCACTCCTTTGACTTATCCATGTACACATCGACCTATTTTCACTTAAAAAGTCAAGGAAAATTGACAAAAATGCAATTCTTCTTACTCTTGTAGAAAGCGCCAATCAAATAAGTGGGTGATTCTGCACTTTAGCCGAAGTTTCTGTCTCTCTTTTTGGGTGAAATCTTATTTAGGTAGCCTATATTTTGGAGTACCCCTTGTATTATTGCCAAGTTGTTGTTTCATTTACGGTAACATAAGTATTTTACGGTGTATATTTTGGACGTGACATGATTGGTTGTAATATATGATGACACTGAATTTTGATTGTTGGGAGAACATTTCTCAGGGCTTATTTCTGCATTGGATGTCGGTTATGAAGTACATTGCTTATTTTCTGCTTTACACCACAAAATGGCTGCCTGTGATAAACTGTGTTTAGTGCTATAGAATGAGAAAGTGGAAGGTGTTTTTTTGAAGTGGTTGAGGACAGAAGAAAAGAAACTTTGTTGCATGTAATTCAATGGAATGCCTTATCTTTAAAAATGTTCATATCCAATTGTTGGAAGTTGTAAACTGTCTTTCTGATAATGGCTTCATTACCTTTGAGTAAATCATGCAGTTACATTTAAGGAACACTATCAGTCATTAAAAGGGATTTTTGAAAGAAATGTTACTGAGAGTCTGACAGAGGATATTTTTATTCTCACTTTTGTGAATTTGTATGGCTACAGCAGTATACAGATTCTAGTTCAGATAATTTTAAGAGTTTTTGGATGCTGTTAAAGAATTTTGTGTGTCATGCACCAAAGACACAGAAATTTCTAAATAAGGTAAACCAATATTTCCTTTTTGTACTGTGCAGATTAGATAACATGCATTTCTATTTTTATGCTAGTTCATCGTTTCATTTTGATTTAAAATGCAGTTTATTGAGATTGTAATTTTTTTAATGTTTTATTGCATTATGTTGTGGTGTTGCGTGGCCCCAACTTGCAACTTGCCCGCAACCGTAGTAGTGACTGCTATGAACTGGAAATTACACAAACTCTTAAGAAGGGTTTAACTCCCTTTTTATTCCACTTTAGAAGTTACAGATGCGTTCACTTGACGCTCACAAACTACGCCGACCCGGAGGTTAAATAAAAATGGAAAAGTACAACTAAAAATAAAATAACAATAATAACAAGTCACTACCTACGAGGCTCTATAAACGTGACTAACTTAACCGCGTTCTAAGATACAGCTGAGATTTCAGCAAACTTTCTGAATAAGAAGTTGAAAGATTCAACTAACTGCCGAAGTAGGCACACAGGCCGAAACGCGCGGTTCTTAAATTTCTACCTAGCAACCTTCACGCTCGTGAATCAAGAAAGCACACCTACAAACTCGTTTCCCTTCTATTTAACTCAAAATACTTCTGCTAAAAATTTGAATACTCTGCGCGTTCTACTAAAATTTACATACTCTGGCATTGGCAATTCCAGGGGAAAGTAAAGGCTTGACAGGAAAGATAGCTTAAAATAAATGTTAGTTAAAATAAATATAAACTCTTCAATGTGTCATACACCATTTTACTTGGGAGAATGTTGCACATAAACAGGAATGACACCAAAAAATCGCCTTGTCAGGTGGGCAACCTGAAATATAATTTTCCTCCTGATTCATATTTTATGGGCAGAAAGAAAATCATTATCGAAGTGCATAATACAATAATTGTGTTTCTCTGTACTGTCAGATATTGTATTTACATATATCTCTCCATTGTATACTAGCCTCCCCTAGCTTTTCAGCATATCATTTAGAAATATCTGATTTATACTAAGCGTAAAATGCATGCACAAATAAAAAAGCATTTTGTGTACGTAAAAAGACTATAACTGAAGTTGAGTTCTTCAAAATACGTATTATAATAGTAGTGTGACTTAATATGTGCTTTTTAATGTGCTGTGTTTATCATTAAAGCTATCACTTCAAAAATACATTCATGCTAAAAAAATAAGCAACAAATGCTAAAGAGAAAGTGCAAATATAAAAAGAAAAATTAAAATATACAATTTATATATAAGATATAGGTTGCATCATTGAATGCAAATGGGCAAAGTCGGTATAAAATGCAATCTCACAGTTATACCACAAAGACTTCAAAAGGGGAATGTAGGATCTATGTGTCAGTTCACAAGCAGTGATAGTTCGTAAAAGTCCGAGATAACCAAAGTTGCCATTTGCACTATGAAATGCATTGGAGGGCTGTCTGGATGTTGCAAGCTAGTGCAAGACAATCTACTATTGCAAAATAGCTGAATGTGCATCGTAATATCATCAGTAGGCTGTGGAATCATTATGAAAAGGATCAAAACTCCTGTGTAAGACAAAGGTCTGGACACTGGAGGATTAACACAGTGGCAGGCGAGCATTTTCTGTTGCTCTGTGCAAGATGTCGTAGATTACTAACAGCATTATAGCTGGCATCAGATCTCTCTGTTGCTGCAGGACGGCCCATATTCCACTAAAGTGTATTGCATCGACTGCATGAATGTGAACTGTATACCCAATGGACTATGGTTTGTATTTCTTTGTATGTCAGATCTCATCGTATGTCAGAGCATGGTTGAATTGGGTCTGGGACCATCGCTGTTGGACAACAGAGCAGTGGGGCCATGTATCCTTTACAGATGAATTGCAGTTTAATATCCAGAATGATTCTCAAAGGGCAATGATATGGCAAGTGTCACGGACGCGCTATCAGGTGTCAAATAACATCAAAAGAGACCATTACAGAGGAGGAGGCTTATTTGCAGTGGCGGCTCATGGCTAAAATTAGTGGGGGTGCTGTTCAAAAAAAAAAATTAACCTTTGTTTTAAAATTGTGTAAAAGGAAACAAACATGTATAAAAACAAAATTTATTTTGAAACATCAGGAAATCTTACAATAAAAAAATTAAGCATTTCTTAATTACTTTAACCAAACTTTTTACAGTTCACTCTTTGTCTATTCATTTAAAAATGAAATCCATTTTTCTTGTTTTACTTTGCGCGAAACAATCAATAATTTTCTCCTTGATCTCTGGATGACAATTGAAGAAATTTTTCTTTATTGAAAGCAATGCAAGCGCATTTAGTCTCTCCGAATTCTAGTGCTTCTTAGAAAAGTTTTCATTCTTTTCAATGTTGAAAAGCAGCGTTCTGCCTCTGATGTAGTCATGGAAGCTCTCAAGAGAATTTTTATCAGTTTCGTGATTCCACTAAGAACATCATCTAGATTCTTTTCAAAGATAAGTTTCAGTAGCTCAATTAATTTGCAGTATTCCTGGATATCAGACCCACAATAGAATACTTTTTGTTGAGTCTGAAGCTTTTCTTTGTCAATCAATATATATGCTTCAGGAGTCAGTACTATTTCTTCTATAGAATGTTCATTCCTAAAACTAGCGAAGCATTTCTTGTTTAACAATTTAGAAGCTGCTAAGTGTTTAGTGGAAGAATAACTCTGCATTATATCAATACATAGTATAAAATCACATATTTCCTTCTTCTACTCTTCTGCCATCGGTGTCTTTGAAAAATTCTCACAGTACTTTAAGTTTATTAATTCTAAGATAGCAGTTTTGGAATTTGTTATATATTCGTTAACTTTAAACACACTAATTTCTCTGAATTGCATTTGATTGTATATTATTTCAACATGAGGCATCTGATAAAAAAAGCTCTAACCAAAACTTGAAATTATCATCATTTAGATATTTTAAAATTCCTATTGCTGTTTCATTTGTTGTTGTTCTGCATTTGATGTTGATTGAATTTCACTAAGGCAATTTTTTAACAGGTTGCAAATTTTCATGAACTCTGCTTATGGTCCGTATGATGAAATTCCACCTTGTGGAGGAATACCACACGCCCACATTCCCTTGTGGAGGAATACCACGAGTAAAAAGAAATCACTTTTCGAACAACATGGCTGAATTTCGGCACTGCAAGAGCGACAGTGCTCTTCTCTCTGCCCGGCTCGCCTGCTGTTTTCTGTGTGCGCATGCTCAGAACAGCCAAACAACACATCGCTAGAACTGTGAAGCGCGCAGTTCCTTTTTGACAAAGTGGCCATCCCCCACTTTTTCAAAAAGGCACAATAGACTTTCGTACCTTTTTGACAAAGTGGGGGATGGCTATTGACATAAAGTTTAAGGATTATGTATTGTAAAAGTATAAAGAAAGAAAGACTAAAGGGAGGGCACACTATATTAAATATTAAAAATAATAATAAGTGGAAAGTGGGGGTGCTGCAGTTCCACAGTGCTTATTATGAGCCTCCACTGCTTATTTGTATGTTCTCTGGGATTGTAACGAACATCCACACCAACCTCTGTGTGATTCCTGGTATTTCTGTTGCAGCCTTTCGATATCACAACAAAATTATACACCCTCTTACGCATCCATTTATCACTGCAGTGGACGTGATATTTATGACTGATAATGCTTGCCCACATAGAGCTTGAGTGGTGCGGAGTTATCTGGAGAGTGAAACCATTCCACATCTGCTGTGGTCTTTTAGGTCACTTGACCTAAATCCTATAGAGGATGTGTGCAACATTTTGGGTTGATGGATAGCATGTTGCAGCTTGCCACAAGACATTCTCAACAAGCTCTCATATGTATTACTACAGGAAT